AATTCTTTGATTTGTTCTGCCCTCTTCTAAATATATCGCTAAAACCGTTTTGGGGAAAGTGACATAGGGCTGAATTGAGTCGAAGGTAAATTCGAGCGAATTCGTTAATGAGATAAACCCCAAAGAGCTTATGGAATTGTAATACGGTACGAATATGTATGTCTCACGATTGTGGCGTCGGCTTTTAGCTGGATACTCCACATCAATCATTATGGCGTGTAGCATAGCTTGAACTATGTCTTGGAGGCAAGTATAAGGGCATAAGAACCTTTGTAGATGCTATCTGTTGGGTAACTTACCCAGCTCCAGTATGATTCACTCCCCAAATTAGGGTCGTTGCGCAGAATATGCCCAGGCGACCAGTTATTTGCACCGACACCGTGTGAAAACAGACGACGGTCATCGAGAATAAAGCCGTTGAGCAAATCGTCTGCAATATCCTGTACATTTACGGGATTGAATTTGGATTGTTGGGATTATGGGCGGGGTTGAATTTATCAATGGAAACTGTATGTGGCAAATTTTCAGCACCTGAGCAAAAAATCGTAAGTCTCTCTTGAAGTGGGATGTAGAATTGTACGCCAGGTGAGCTTTGTCCCTTCGGATTATCTGAAAATGGATTGTTAAAAGCTATCACCCATCAAATCCTGCATTTCCACTCAACTGTAAGCCAAACGAAAAAAAAAAACTTGAAAACTAATTCCCGTCGGCGTAGATTCAATCCGTGTCTCTCTATAGTACGTAATGAGAAAGATGCCCGCGAGGATACCACGCGTTGATGGTACTTTCCCCCCGATTATTGTGCTAACACAGGAATTATACATAGTATGTATAGTGTAATTCTGTTGTATATAAAGCAATTTCTCGAAAAGGAACTATTTGTTTCTATAACATATGAAACAATAGAAAACAAAATAGGGCAGCAGTCAACAAACGAGTGTGGCGAAAACAATAATTATTTTACTCTAATAAAAAGGAATAAAAAGGATAAAGCTTTTGCCGTTGATCAATCCCTTTTTGGGATGCGGCACGCATTCTACTTCCATTTGTACATTCGTAGTGGCGTTTGAATGTGGCCTATACAATGACTTGCGGGGGCCAGCCGATGTACAAGTCAGTGTTTTTATCCTCCCAGACAAGTCTGGTACCAATTAACCGACCCCGGAGGGATGGAAGGCTTGGTTGGCCCGGGCGACTCACGACCCAGGATTTGATCCCCGGACCGCTCGCGTGGTGAGCGCGCCACTTGTCACTACACCACTTCCGCCCTATTACATAATACACACATCTCACATGCGCCAATGTTCCCTATGGTCGTAAATCGTCCCAATATGTGCAGATTTCGCCTTACCATTATAACTGAACCCAACGATTCCTATCTCGAATTGGAAATGTTTGAGGTAACGGTATAGTGGGCGAGAGGGGGCCCTCACACACATTAATAATGAAACTATGGAAAAGGGGTCCTTTGTGAAATGGATAATTATCCGCAGATACGCGACCCAACCATAGCACAATGTTAGCAGTCATCATTCTGGACCACATCGAGAAGCCCTCATCAACAAAAGGAATTTCTAATCGAGGATGGTGGTCCGTTTTGAGAGGGACTGGAGATTTTTGTGGAATTCGTATAGGAACCGAACGCATACGATGCGTGCCCTTTAATGCAATCGGAGGAGGTCAGGACAAATTTTTGCGGTTCTTCGAATTGAAGTAAAAATAAATGACTTTCACCAGAGAAACACTTCTTCACCGAAAAATTAAGAGTTAGAAGAAGACATACCCATTGCAGTTTAATTAGAGTAGCGACATCCAATAGGCACGCAACAGTGAATAGAACTATACTAAACCAGAAGTCAACATAACCCGATAGAATTTGGCCGCAAATAGTGCTGCTGAATGTGAATACCAAGCTATCGCGGTCGAAAATGAAATAACATGATTCTGAAAAGGATTCATAAGTGATTCAGGTGCACATCAAAGTAATTCAGTACATATAATGCACATAAATAAAGGATAAAGGATAAAGCATTTGCCGTTGATCAATCCCTTTTGGGATGCGGCACGCATTCTACTTCCATTTGTACATTCGTAGTGGCGTTTGAATGCGATGTGGCCTATACAATGACTTGCGGGGGCCAGCCGATGTACAAGTCAGTGTTTTTATCCTCCCAGACAAGTCTGGTACCAATTAACCGACCCCGGGAGGGATGGAAGGTTGGCCCGACTCACGACCCAGGATTTGATCCCCGGACCGCTCGCGTGGTAAGCGTGCCACTTGCCACTACACCACTTCCGCCCATAGTTCAACTATCAGAAACCACCTCTACTGAAAATTTGACCAATGGAAGGTTGTCTCCTCGTCCCGACTGTCGTTTTTTGAGCGATTTGATGGTCAGATCTTCAATTACGCCTAAATCTGACTTCAATTGCAGGAGTGAAGACGAGTCATTGTGTGTTTGCGCAGGCTCGTCCTCGAGAGGGGCCATGCCTTGGCTTGGTGAAAGGTCAAATCGTGGAAATGTGGGGGGGGCGTATTTTTAGAAGTTGAAGAGGTCGTGTTGGCAGTAGGGGAGAGCGCTAGAGTCCGCAGTCGCGTCGCGGCTGGTACCGCAACGCGACTGCGGACTCTAGCAAATCGCTAGTAGCAAATCACTCGACTCGTAAAGTCTGACATCGGCCTGAAGGAGGTGAGTCGTAAAAAATCAGCAAGTCAGCGAAACAGCGCAACGGACGGTTGGCCTGAATGGAAGAAAAGGAGGTCAGTGATTACCGTAGATAGGCTTCTCTCGCTTGAATGTTTTGTGAATCCGGTGAGGTACATAAGTCGGGCACCTCTATCCGAACAGCCGATGTCACAGCTAATATTGAAGAGTGTTCCTAATTTAGCGCGCAATGTACTCGGAAAGAGGGGTTAGTCTCGAGGGGACTATAACTGCCAGCCCACCCCAGAGCAGACGCAACTCTCACAAGAGACAGACAATTGCTTCGCGTACACCATAGTCTCTTTTTTAGTCCGATTCTTAGCCCCAAGCTCAGCGTTCCCGTGAGCCCTACGAAATCTTAGGGGCTGCCCTCCCCCGGCCACTTTGCGCTCTAATTTATACCTAATCTTTTGAGAAGTCTCATTACTCACCATCAAAATAGGCACATCCGTATGCCAAACATATCAATGTGGATGCAGCAATATACCGAATAGTGGAACGATTTGAAAAGAACTCAGCGTATTCCGTTGGTTTGAACACGCAAACGAAGCGATTCAACGAGAGCAGAAACATCGACAAATAGGCACCACATTGAGCAATGATAGTCATCTGACCTATGGATCGATTCAACCAAAAGGCATTAGAGAAGTCCTCCGAAAATGACACTTCCAATTTGCAGGTTTAACAATCCCGAGTTATAAGGCATCCAAGATTCTTCGATTGCTTGCGTAGTGTAGTTTGTAATCCTTTGTTGTTTATTTCATCGTCTTTTCGCTCCCTTGTATCAAAACACACGGCACACCTAGGTAAAAGGGTAATAGTGTAGAGCCTCCTTTCCTCAACGTTGCCGTGTTGACCCTGCTTCCAACACCATCGCAAATTCGCGCATTTCCGTCCATTTCGGGAATTTTTAAGCACTTGTAATCTTCTCAACTCTATAGATGGCCACTGCAGCCCATATGATCACAAGTCTTTCAAAGTCATCCGCAAGGACCCCCCTTTGAAATGCCAATATGCAACACTCCGCTACAGAACTGCTAATTCTTTAACACCCGTCTACTAGCCTCATTTGTGTATTTCTGGGCAGTTTAACAACTGGTTGCGAAGGCACCTTCGTGGCCACTCAGTCAAGACCCCTGGCAACTGGACGCATATGAGCTTTTCTGCCCCTATTTATCTGACTGCTCTGGGTATTAGCACCATCAGCAGTGGACGAATGCCTGAAGGCAGCGTGACCTTAAGGGTATAGGAAAATTTCCGATGCACACAATCAACAACAAACAACGCAGGAATAAATAACCTATTACGTGTGTTAATGCTTGACAGTTTCATGTAGCTAAATAGAAAAATAGAGAGAAAAGAGATGTGAATAGCGTTGGCATCATCTTTTTCATCCATATCTTCGTCCATGTAGCTTTATATACTGCAGATCACCGTGTCTGTGATGCCCTAGCACGAAACGTGGCTACTGTGGAAAAGAAGTGAAAGCCTCGTGAATCGGTGGGAACTGAGGCATCCTTTCACTTTCAATTCAAAGAATGCATTCAAGGAGCTTCATCTGTTTGAAAAAAGCAGGTGCTAGAATGATCTGTCAATCATGGGATTCAACACTACTTCCATCCCACACCTGCTCGTTCATAAATGCTTACCCGTACGTCCTTAAAGTTGTCCGCTCCTTTGCAAGAATGCCGCGGAAACAGCGAACCATGTGATTTTTTTCTAGGTGTTCTCAATTCCTTCCTCCTCGAGCCCATTCCCGACAGCCGCTCCCATCCTGCGCACCCCCCCGAATAGATACGATTTTGCAAAGCGGTCGGACTGTTGGTCCATTCACGCACCCCCCCCCCCCCCCCCCGCCCTCGGGCCTATAGGGGTCTCCATACAATGCAAGGAAAAACTGTTAGAAATCCCAAAATCGCACCACGAGCCGACAATATGGGCGTGGTTTGCGTCAAGTACCTACACGAGTCTCGGTGGCTGATTTCATTTTTCACTTTGCTTTATTCATTTTACCGTAATCAGCACAGGGAACAACCAATAAGAGGCTGGGAGAGAGATACCCTGATTTATTTCCAGCCGAATTCTTGATCTTGTTCATGTACCTGATGAACTCCGTTATCACTGTCTAGATTCAGCCTGTGGCCAATATGAATCGAATATACCTTCAAAGGCAGCTATAAAGCGGGCGCGCATAGCGGAAGCATATACACCACAGGAATTACTAATTAGCTTAGCGCTTTCACGCCACAAGGTTGCGCTGGTTGCTGTGGGGCGAGGACTTCGGAAGCACTCCCGCCTCGACCACCGATCCGCGCGACGCGGTAATTAGTTAGTGATTTTTGGACGAATGCTGCGCTGCCACAGATTTGACACGACCTTGAGCAAATTGGTTGTGAAGTGTGGTCTGGTGTGGTGTTACCCGCTCCTTTAATGAGATAAACCTCGAAGAGCTTATGGAATCGGAATAGGGTGCGAATATGTCTCACGATTGTGACATCGCGCAACCAAACTAGATCGGCCTTCTGCACCGATTCTTTGGTTAGTTATTCGACGATCGCTCGCACCTTAGCCTTTCCGCGTTAGCTTGCTTACTTATTTGCATCTTCCTACTGAAGAACTGTTGCAATAGAGGTAATCCAATAAAATCCATTGAACATACTTCAGTCAACTTTTAGCTGGATACTCGTAGTGGCGTTAGCATACAACTATGTCTTGGAGGCAAGTAGGAGCATAGGAACCTTTGTAGATGCTATCTGTTGGGTAACTTACCCAGCTCCAGCATGATTCACTCCCCAAATTAGGGTCGTTGCGCAGAATATGCCCAGGCGACCAGTTATTTGCACCGACACCGTGTGAAAACAGACGACGGTCATCGAGAATAAAGCCGTTGAGCAAATCGTCTGCAATATCCTGTACATTTACGGGGATTGGATTTATCAATGGAAACTGTATGTGGCAAATTTTCAGCACCTGAGCAAAAAATCGTAAGTCTCTCTTGAAGTGGGATGTAGAATTGTACGCCAGGTGAGCTTTGTCCCTTCGGATTATCTGAAAATGGATTGTTAGAAGCTATCACCCACTAAGTCCTGCATTTCCCTTCAGCTGTAACCCAAACGAAAAAAAAACCGAAAAACTGATCCCCGTCGGCGTAGATTCAATCCGTATCACTCTATAGTACGAGGTGAGAAAGATGCCCGCGAGGATACCACGTGTTGATGCTACTTTTCCCGATTATTGTGCCACACAGGTATTATATAGTATGTATATGTAATTATGTTATATAAAAACAATCTTGAGAAGGAACTCCACAAACATTTGATTTCATAACAAATGAAACGGAAAACAAAACAGGGCAGTAGTTACAAACGAGTATGGCGGAAACAAAATTATTTGGAGTAAAAAGGATAAAGGATAAAGCATTTGCCGTTGATCAATCCCTTTTTGGGATGCGGCACGCATTCTACTTCCATTTGTACATTCGTAGTGGCGTTTGAATGCGATGTGTTTGTACGTGCTTACAATTCCTCCTTGGAGCCCATTCGAAAATATATTCAGATGCAAGTTTTTAGGAAATTTCAAGGTGTCAGTATCATTATGCGGCACAGCGTGTGCACGGTGCTAATGTTAAGGCCTTTTGGCTCTCACAATGCAGGGCAAGTGGGGGGGGGG